GGGAGTTGCTCCTGTCTGGTTTCGTAGACGTACTGGTTGAGCATGTACTCGTTGCGTTTGGAGCGTTTCGTTTTCCCGGCGCTCGGAGCGCTGGCTTCAGGCCGCCTAAAAACACACCCGTCGCCATGTTAGACCTTGCTCACGTTGATGTTCAAGTACAACCTGTTAGACAGACGAACCTATCTGCGTAGCTCTGCTGCTGACCGGCATTCTGGGAGGAGACCCCTCGCTTTTGGGTATCGGCCATGATGGCAATGTATCGGGTCCTGTTGACAAGCAGTGCAGGCCCAGTATAATCAACGGTGGACGCCGAGATCAAGGCACAAATATGCCGGGACAAGCGTCTCACACAACAGAATGAGGAGGAGTGGTGATAACGATGGAAGAGCTGAGTGGTTTGGAAACACTGTCCAGTTCACGACGATTCAAGTTGGGCGCAGGCAGCCTTTTTATCCTACACATGGCAGTCTGCCGCAGGCTGCGGATGCCATGGCAGACATTCACACAAGCACAGACACAGCTGCTTCGGCGCTGTGAGCCAAAAGTGTCCAAACATGTACTCTGCAAGATGCAACCCACTTAAGTAATCAGATGGGATGGAGTCCGGACAGGCTGGCGGCGTCTGATGATGCGCATCTCGCAGCGCACCAATGTCAACAGCCAATCCTGCCCCATTGCTGCAAACGCAAACAAGTATACGGCCAATTGCCTGCGTTTTGCGCCTTTCTGACCCGCCTTCCGCGACCTATCTCCGCAGACGACGCATCTTGCTCACCGCAGGGTGCGAAGAGGGCGACCAATCTTTTCTTTTCGCAAATACATCACTCTTGGCCGTTGCCAACAAGGTCCCAAAATAGGCTCGGCAGAGGAAAAGAAAAGGAGACCGGGATCCGGACTTCTCGGGCCGACAGTGAAGCTGCGTGATGGTGAAGCAAAGTCCACACATATTACATACTCAAGCCCACGAGCGCATCGGGTATCGGCGTCTCGGCATGGTCTGTTATTGCGCGAGAACCTGTTTCTGCATAAACCCCCCCAGTGGTTCAACAGGACTCCCAGACACAACCTTCGCCATGCATTACATGGGAGCGGTGCGATTCAGCGGCCCAGATGTGTTCTGCACCACGGCAGCGGAGAGAATTCCGGACTTGGGGCGGCCACCACTCGACTCCTGCCCACCAAGGCTGGTGCTTTGCCCCAAGGCTGTCTTGTCGACCTTGTGCGGCGCGCCTAGGCACTCCTGACAGCCCTTCCTTTCCGGAACCTGCTCTCCGCCACATCGGCCACAGGAACCAAATACGCGCATGCAACAAGGGGCGCCGACTGGCCCAGGGATATTGAAGATTCGCAACCACCACGAGACTGGTGCATGCAGCGGGCAACAGCTCCGGTTCCTGTCTTGGGGGGAGAGCTAATGCAAAAGGCCAGGGCGGATGACGCCCGCGAGCCAGTAGAACAGCGTGCTTTCGCGGGTTCGTACATTTTGGCAGGCCGGCCCGGGGCTCGCGCGAGATCAATGTTCTTTGACTTTGGCGACCGCTCCCGTGCGGCGTTGATGCCTGGGAGGCCCTCCCGTCGACTGGTCTGCCTGGACCAGCTCGCCGTGGTGCTTTTGATAGGCGGGCGATGGAGGCTTTTTTGCTTGCTTTTGCCGGCTGGAGCAGGCTGCTGCTGTAATGTATGCCATCGGGTCTCGCCATACACATGGTTCGTGTGCACAAACTCTGCGGTGGCTGCTTACGGGGGACCTACGTGGCCCAGCGTCGGCGCGAGTAGCCAAAAACGCTCCTGGGTGGGCACGGCAGTCCCCAGTGGCATTTTCGACACTGGTGGTTACACGTCTGGGGGAGGTCTCCGAAGCTGTAGTACTCCGTAGCACACCATCTTCTTGCTGATGACAACAGAGAATAGGAACACGCCAGACTGGCCGCGAGGGGCGAGACTCTGCTGCTTCCGCGGGCAGCAAACTCCCCGCTTCACCATTCAAACATCGGGCGAGAAGGCAGCACTCATGGAGTCTGGGCCCGAGGAGCTTCTTCACCCTGCCCAATGCGGGATTCTACGAGCCCGTCATCGCCCGGTTGAGGAGGATTGCACTGCATGTGCAAGGGGGAGGTGCAGGTGCGCCAGACACCAGGTCGCAGCAGTGAGGCAAACGAGGAATCAAACACACATCACCAGGGAGTCACCTGATTACAGACCATGCGGGTGTGGTGTCCTGGAAGCCATTATCGGTAGAATGACCCGAGTGTGGACGGCCGCCGCGGCGTGTGCCCGTCATCAGGGACGGAAAATGCAACCCGCCCATTCGACCCCGATTGAAAGAAAAAGAGACAATCTGAAATCACGGGTAAAAAAAGCCCTTCTGCCCCTTGAGATGGTGTTTGTCACAAAGACAGTCGCCGTGGATGCTTCTGTGCCGCTGGCAGTTCCTGGCTCGTCTCATCCAGAGCAGACTCTCGGTTCGCGTACTTCGTAGGCCGGCCAACAACACTAGTGGTGAGACAGATCGTCATGACGCACGAAATGCACAAAATGCATACATGTGTGTGCCTTCAGCAGCCAAACGGGTATGACAAGTCTCCCGAGCATCCGTCGCATCCCTGGATGAGTCAAGTCTGTTGATGTGTGTCTTGCTGTTTCAGCAGGAGCCAAGTAGTTCCCTTTGTTTTGTTGGGCCAGGCCGCCAAAAAGGGTTAGTGATGCGCGGGAATTGCCAGTGGCCCCCACTTGCCGTCCTCGGCAGCTAATTTTAGCGCCTGGGCCAACGCTTAAATGGTCCGAAGATTAGATAAGCCTAGGCTCGTGCACTAGTTGACAGGATGAAGACGCTCGAAAGCATCGGCGACGCGAATTGGGACTGGCAAACGGTGAGGAGAGAAAGGGGTGTAGGAGAGGGCGGCAAGGGGCTACACTGGCGATTTATTTTGCTGGACCGATCCCATCATTATCGCACGCCTGAGGTTGAACGTGCATCCCCGTCGAGGTGTACTCCGTGTTGCATGGTGACTTATCGGGTAATCGTCGCAGAAGATTTTAGACGGCTAGTGATGGGAAGCACGGAGCACGGAGCATGGAACACTAGAATCCGACGACCCCGGGTTGAGCAAGCAGAGCCACAACCCGCCCCCGTTGGTGTGCACCTTGCAACCACCCCGCCACGTGTGCTGCCCTGCAAGGCAGCTCTCGACCGCGAATCCGCTCGCTAGTGCAGCGTCCTGTCATAGTGCAGCGTCCTGTCAGAATCGCCAGGGCCAGGGTCCACTGTGATGCGTTGGCAGGGTCTGCCTGGTGTGGACATGGATAGTATACGTGCGTACTCCGTACTCTGGAGGGAAAACCCGTATTGAGCTCGGATGAGTCGAGATCAACTTGTCACGTAATCAAGGTGAGCGGCTAGGGGGGTGGATCAAGAGACGTTGATTGGTATTTGGTTCACCCTACACATGGAACGGACCGGCGAGCCAAAAGAGTAATCATCCGGAATAGGCACTATAGATATCAAGTACTTTGTATGCATGACCAAGGAAGATGAAGCCCCGCAGGAAATTGCTGTAGACATTGCAATTGTCAGCACCGAGACAAACAGGCACCTGCTGCAGAAAAAGATAGAGGTCACGTTTCATCTTGATCTATGTACGGAGGGCGCACACAGTAATTCGCAGGGCTTGGTGCAGGCTGCGGCGGTTGTCGCCACTTGGACACAGGCGTGAGCCTTTTGTCGCCATGATGATGCTACGCAAGCGTATATGATCTTGCGGATTTTTTTCGGGAATTTTTTTTCCTTTTGGCGCACAGCCAAAAATACTCGTAGAAGCAGCCTGCCTAGTTTCCTCTTGCGATCCATCAGTTCACTGGCGAACCAGACAAGGCGACGAGTCGCTCCGTCCCGGGCTTCACTCGCAGCGTGGCTGGCGCGAGGACCGCAAAGCTGATGCGGATTATATGGCCCACACGAACATGAATGGGTCGGAGTGAGGCCTGGTGAGGTTCGTCAACGGGCATTTCGGGAAGTCTGGTGGCCCAGTTCAGACTCGGCATGCGGCATTGCGGAGCATGAGCGATTGGCTTTTATGGTTCGTTCCCCCTTGGCGATGACAACCTTGTTGCTGATCAAGCCAGCCGTTGTGTGGCGCGCCGCATGGTGAACATGGTGGCACGACGCCAACACGACTGCAAAATTAGTTTCAGTTTTTTGGGACGTCAAGGCCGAGAAAATACGCTCGACCACGTTGTTTCGCATATGGATTTCCTCCATTATCGCTTTACGCAGACCAGAATCAAGGCTTGAAGTAACTTACGCTCCTATGCGCGTCTTTACGTCGCTTGGTTAAAGTTGGAAAAGTATTATCGGCTTACCGAATAGGCCTCTGAATATGTGGCTGGTGTTCTCCTCCACCCAGCACTTTAAAAGAGCTACTCGAGTGAGCGGCGGAAACAAAACCCAGCCAAATAGCTGTTGACACAGTTTGCATGCCCCCCATGTTTGCAGAGGCAGAGCGAATATTCTCGGGAACGAGACATAGAAGGAGCACATCTGCTGAAATGGTAGAGGTACCCGAGTGCATCAAGAGCTGGACAAGTATGCCAAAAAGGAAAAGTAGACCGCTCCTCGCTAGGGGTGTTTAGGAGAGCGCAAGACATTGACGCGGCTGTAGAATCACGGAGGATATAAACACGGAAAAGGGGGCGGAAAGTGACAGCAAACGTGAATGATTGGCAGTATGGGCAGACGGAAAATACTAAACATCCTTGGGCAACTTGGAGGGCATGTCGCACATCAGTATAGCGTTTGCCAAAATATTGCGCTGTAACTGGACATCGTTTCATACAAAACTAAAAGTATACCAGCGTCTGGTTTCATGAAACTAAACTCGCCTCGGTCTCAGTTTCATAGCGTGTCTACACAGCACCAACCCAACATTGACACGCCGGAGAAGACACTGCCATTCTCGACCTTTGGACAATGTAGACGCGGCATTAGCTCAGTAGGCTCACTTTTATATTGGCACGACATCGTCCTCGGTTCCCCTCACAAACTCCTGCCAAGTCGTACGAGATGCCTCGTCGGGATTCTCGTCTCTCCACTTCCAGTAGTTGGTGAGAATATTGGCCCCCGTGTCGACACTCGCAAAGCCATGCCGCCTCTTCCGCTTGAACCACTCCAACGCCCGGGCCTTCATACACGAAGAGCCGCACTCGGCGGCAATGACGAGACACGGCCACAATAGTATACACCCGTTTGAGGCGCCGGCAATCTCCTCGGCTGTTTCAAGATGGCACAGAGCACGGTCAACCATGCCGGAGACACTCTCAGGAGAAGACTGGTAAAGGCACCGCTGGAAATAAATCAGCAACGCGTAATAGTAAACGTGCGCATAATGCATCGCCGCTTGGGCATCCTCTCGACGCAAATAAATCCCCGGAGAGACAGTAGCTGGCGCGTAAAGACTGGCTTGGAGCTCCAGTCGCCGTAGCTCTAGTTTGCTGATTCTTGCCGTGTCGGACCTGCTCCCGATGCCAGCGACGTATTGGTTGATGGCAAACACCGAGCGCAGGATAAACTTGTCAACACCATGGTACTGGCTCATGTAGCTAATGGCGCCAGGAAGCTTGGCGATGAGCGTGCCAATGTCATACGTGGTCTCAACGTTTCCGAAGACGGCAAGACAGAGCAACTGTTCGAGAACCATGTGCATGTGCGAGCCGGCCTGGACCTCGATTTCGCTCGGATCAGCAAGACACCCCAAGGCGCCTTGTACGTGGCCGCGCCAGTTCCGGGCCTCTCCGCCGACGACATCTCCGAGTATACAGAACAGGATTGCGCTCAGGACGGCCGTGACATTGTCGCTGTCTCTCGGGGACTGGAAGTTGATGGCGAGCTGCAGATGCTGGAGGGCGAGGCGGTTGTGGCGCGCGGCGAGCAATTTTGTGACGCCGGGTTTCGCCACGCCCAGGTATAACTGATTTTCGGCCGAGGCGGCACAGAGGCCATGGAATAGAGCGAGGTTGCTGCTTGACTGGGTGACTGGCAGGTTGATGCCGGTGAACGCAAAGGGGAGGTGTACAAGTCGGTACGGGTTATCGACTAAATCTACCGGCACCATGTTCTTGCACATGAAGGAAACCCAGTGATATAGTAGGTCCCTTTGGCACGAAGGGACTGCCAGCTCGTCAACTTGGACAGAGCGAAACCTTGGATAAGACCATGGCGGCGGTGTGTGCTTGGCGTATTCCCATGAACCTGTGGCGGCAGAGGCGGCACCCGCTCTGTTGTCGGCAGAGCCGGCATACTTGTCGTTGCCGGACACGGTTGGCCGACCGTCAGTCGATGTGGCACCGCTGCTTGGAGCATTCGTCCAATTCAGCCTGACGCCGTAGCCTTGGCAGGCGATGCGTGCGCGCGAGCATCGGTCGCAGACGGGCCGACGTTCGTCGCACTTGATGCGGCGCGAGCGACAGGTCCAGCAGCCTGAAAAGGTCCTGGTCTTTTTCTTCCTGCTCCCAGTCGGGGCCCGGTTGGAGGTGGCCATGCTGGGGTTGAACATGTCGACGGTCTCCGTGGTGGGAAGAGACAGAGATTGTGATGCCGCCAGAAGTTGGATGCGAGTCCGTCTTGACGTCTCCGATATCCCCCTGGAAAGCGATCGGCGCCATGCTCCACTCGGCTCGCTATGGCATTCCTCATCCGTCTTGGCTCCATCTATTAACTGCTCCCGCCACGGGGCGGACCACATGCATCTTATCGGGGCTAAGAAGAACCCCCACCCCGGACGTGGACGTGCATGTAATGCCACGGCGCCGGAAGCCTCGGCTAGTTCGGAGTCCGGACAGCCGACGGGGCCGACCCTCCTGGCCAATAAAGGCAATCCAACGCTACTGCCGTTGAACTGATGCCGACAAAGCGTCGCGCCGGTAATGGATCTGTGTGAAGCTATCGTCGAGTCGAGTGTCGAACGGCAGTGCTGCTGGGGTGCCTTTATTGGCTCGCAGCCTCGTCGCCATCGGCCGTCCGCGGTAGCCCGTGAATAGAAATAGGCAACTTGCAACAGAAACCTACACAAAGCAAGCTAATGGTCCCCAGGGTTGTTTTGAGATAGTACTAGATCTATATATTATATCACTGTTCTCTTATATATAAAGCCGTATTCGTTCTCGAGTCAAGTAGTCTTGCATCTTCTATCCATCCTCAATAACTTGCTGCTCTTTGCGCCTTGACCCTCCTAGCTCACTATCCTTCCATCACCTCATCGACATTTTCAGCCCAGCGCTACTTGCAAGCCATGTGAAGCCATGGCAGACGTTATTATCGTGGGAGCAGGCCTCTCCGGCCTTGCGGCGGCCGAGAAGCTCGTGGCGGCCGGCAAGTCAGTCGTTGTCCTCGAAGCACGCGACCGCGTCGGGGGCAAGATTTACGACTCGCACTTTACCACACCCACTGTACGCGGATATGCCGAGACGGGAGCGTCGTTTATCGGTCTCGGTCAGACAGAAGCCATCGCGCTCAGCGAGAGACTTGGCCTTCGGCTATTCGATACATATGACAAAGGCATGATTGTCGTCTCTTCCCCCTCGGGCGAGCGCAAGCTATTTGACCCAGAAGACCCCAAGTCTGCAGCATCGGCATTTTCAACCAAAGCCACTAAACAGCTCGAGGCCGTCGTGGTCCAACTCGACTCGATGGCCGCGGAACTGGATCTCACCACGCCATGGAGTCATCCCAAGGCCGTCGAATGGGATTCCCAAACGCTGCATTCCTGGATCGGCGCCCACCTCTCAGACCCCGAGGCAGTGGCGGTGCATCTCGCCCAGTGGCGGGCAGTCCTGTCCGCCGAAGCAGCCGACGTGTCGCTGCTCCAGGCCCTGACGTACATCGTAAAAGCCGACGGCAACTCCCCCGAGCGCGGTGGAAAAGGCAACTGGGCACAACTAATCAGCATAAAGGGCGGCAGTCTCGAGAAGCGTGTCGAGAACGGGCCCCAGCTTCTAGCTATTCGGCTCGCCGAACGTCTCGGCAGTAACGTCGTCAGGACAAACTCTCCCGTGTCCGGTATTAGCAAACGCGGCAGCGAGTACATCGTCCACATCGAGCCTCGAATCGACGAGCCCAAGTCCGTCGTGACGGCTCGCAGCGTCATTCTCGCCCTATCGCCGCCGCTCGTGTCGCGGCTGCGATTCGACCCCCCCCTGCCGATTAGCTGCTCCATGCTCGGCCAGCGCATGAGCATGGGCGCCGTGGGAAAGGTCATTGCCGTCTACGAAACGCCCTTTTGGCGCGATGACGGACTGAGCGGCCGGGCATTCGGGCTCGCTGATTCCCACGTCAAGTTTACCTTTGACGCGTCGCCCGCCAACGCTTCCTGCGGCATCATCATGGGCTTCCTTGTGGGCAACTACGCCCGCAGGCTCGATGATATGAGCGATACACATGTCCAGGAGGTAGTTGCCCGCGAGTACGTCCGCTTCTTTGGTCCCAAGGCAGAGAATGTGCAGCACTGGATCGTGCAGCGCTGGAACAGGGAGGAGTACTCGCGCGGTGGCCACTTTGGGTTTTGCCCGCCTAATGTCATGACTGTTTATGGGGAGGACCTCGCCGCACCGCCTGTGGGCGATATCTTCTTTGCCGGGACGGAATTGTCCAGCCGGTGGGCGGGGTTTATGGAAGGTGCTATTCGAGCAGGTCGCGCGGCGGCGGACGGTATTATCGAGCGCTTCATGGACCAGAGACGCGGTGGCTCCTGATAAATGGGACACATGAGAGGGAGAGTGGGTTACTAGACTCGCGTGGATTTTGGTAGTTTGTATACATGTAAGAAATAAGAAATAGTAGCTGTCAAGGTCAAGTCGGTTATTCAGTGTAATGATTCGAATGGACCCAACACCCGTGACGTTGCCAAGGCGAGGGACTCGACGGCTGCCAATTGGCAGGTAATTTGCAAATATTGAAGACAAACAGCAGAGGAGTGTATCTCTGCATATCAGTAATTTACCTCTTGCGCTACGTGCATAAGAGCTGACAATCTGCCGACTTCAATCTCAGCTCCCGCATGCACGATCTCCCGAGAATGTCAATCCGACCGACGGGGTAATCATGACAGCGTGTCACTTTGGACCAACTGCCACTCGGCGGCTGAGAACTGTGAGCGGCCTTGGGCCACGGCAGCAATGACAAGGGATGCGATAGCTAGGGTCGCGCATGAGGTTGGGAATATGATGGCAAGTCTCCGTCCTACCCAGACATGGGCTGCATCGCCTGATGCATGCAGTGATGGGCACTCCTAGCCACGCCAGTGATTGATGCAGCTCGCACGCATATCCCGAATGGCCATTGATGTATACTTTATTTGAAACTGGGTGCTGTATGCTGCCCACAATGCCGGCACCGTGCGCCTGGCTCGACACAGATTGAGATAGCTGAAAAGCCAGCCACGCCAAGCCGTGACGTGTCGGTATGGTGAATAGACGTGAAAACCCGAGTAATGGCGAGTTTCAGACTAATTACTTGGCCTACAACAGTGAATACTCGACTTGGTTACCAACAGTTTTAATCAAAGAAGGTTTGTTATGCATCTACATTGGTATGGACTGATAACAAGTAAATTACAGTGGGTTGTATAATGCGAAAGACATCTTATTACAGAAGTTATTTTACCTTGGGCTGGCACTAGTGTGTAGTATAATGTTAGAGATACGGTGGCAAATAATAAGGGGTCAATTTATTATTCCACGCTCAAGACCACTAACTTGTTCTATTTTATTTAGCCTCTATACTAATCTTGTTTTAATACTATAAACGCGTGATTCTGCATAAACTAAGAGGAGCCATAAATTTACTTATTACTTGCATGATTTTGCGTAAACTAAGAGGAGCCACAAATTTACGCATTACTTGCATGATTCAGCACAGCATGATTCGTGATTCGTGTTAGTTTATGCAGAATCCCGCCTTTACCCTGTTTAGGCTTACCAAAAGCTAGTTTCTTACTTTATATATTTATGCATTTCATCATTTTACAAGTCATGCCAGATATGGTTATCAGACAAGATACATTTCAATATTTGCGTACCAAGCGGCCGCCTTGCCTAATACCTGGGTACAAACTAGAAGGCTAGGCTCATGTATATTTTGACACCATGCTAGTAATCTTAGTTTAGAGGCTGTGCGCTCCAAGAATTTATGCAAATCGTACTTAGTAATCACCTTCGATTGAGTATTTACATCGAGTAAATTCTCTACATTTATTTACTCTTCAACCACCCACTTTTACATTCCTTACTAGAAACATATACTGCTACTCTTACTACAATCTACATCATCAAGGCCCAGGCCGACAAGATGAAGTACCTCAACATCCTTACGGCTTGCGCCGGACTAGCTATAGCCGTGCCAACCCTCAACCCTCGACAATCTGAGATCGACGAGGCCGACAAAATTTGCAAATCCCGAGAAATGGACGAGCACCAATGTAACGATTATAAATGGCTTTGCCAGGAGGATGGCAATAAGGACCCTCCTCAATTGAACAAGTGTTTGAGAAAAAAAAGCATCTTCTGTGTTGATGATCACCAATGTGGTGATGGATGGACGTGCATAAGAGCTAGGGCTCCTTATGCACGCCTTTATCCTGGTAAATGCTACAGGAAAAAGGAACAGTCACAGGCTGTGAAGCGGGAGTCGGTTTCTGATGCCGATGAGGACCGGATACAGGGTGGTCTGGTGCAAGAGTCGGCTTCTGATGCCGAGGAGGACCAGACACAGGCTGGGGAGCAAGAGTCGGCTTCTCCACAAACTGATGTCCAAGCCAAGCTCGACAAAATTTGCGACACCCGTGGGATAACTAAGGCCCAATGTGACGTTTATAAACTGCATTGCCAGTATATAAGCCTCATTAAGGAGCCTGATAAATTGAACTACTGCGTGAAAGTTCTCGGAACCGACTGTAAGGATGATGGCCAATGTGGTCAAGGGTATGAGTGCAGAAAAGATCCTGATAGACCCAATGATAGTACCTGCTATCCAAAAAGGGAACAGTCACAGGCTGGGGAGCAGGAGTCGGCTTCTGCTGCTAAGGAGCCGACACAGGATAACAAGCAGGATTTAACTTCTCCTGCCAAGGGGCCGACACAGGATAACAAGCAAGATTCAACTTCTCCTGCCAAGAACCAGACACAGGCTAGGGAGCAAGAGTTAGCTTCTCAACTAGCTGAGATCAACAAGATCGCCAAAAGTTGCAAGAAACGAGGGCTCAGCAAGGCCCAATGTCTCACTTATAGATCGTATTGCACGGAGGGTAGGGGCATTGTGGAGCTTGATCAATTGAAGCACTGCGTGGAAGTTCTTGGAATCGACTGTAAGGATGATGACCAATGTGGTCATGGATTTGAGTGCTACAAAGAGGATGGGGTGTGCGATACGAAACGGTCACAAGCTGGGGAGCAGGAGTCGGCTTCTCCTGCCAAGGAGCCAACACAGGATACACCTACAAATATTACAACTCCTACCAAGGACCAGATACAGGCTGGGGAGCAAGAGTCGGCTTCTGCTGCCAAGGAACCAACACAGGCTGAGGAGCAGGAGTCGGCTTCTCCTGAGATCAACGAGACCGATAAAATTTGCAAAACTCGAGAGTTGGGTAAGTATTCATGTGCTCTTTCTCAGAAACATTGCCGGGAAGCTGGCAATATGGAGCTTGATGAATTGAACAACTGCTTAAAAGTTGTATTTAAAATCTGTAAAAATGATGACGAATGTGGTCATGGATTGCAGTGCTTTAACCCTACTCTTGATCCCGGTAATTCTAGTATCTGCTTTAACAAAAATAAACCGACAAAATCTGGGAAGCAGGAGTCAGCTTCTGCTGCCAAGAAGCCGACACAGGATACGACTATAAATATCGCAACTCCTACCAAGGAGCCGACACAGGCTGGGGAGCAGGAGTCGGCTTCTTCGGAGCAGACGCAGGATAAGAAGCAGGATTCAACTTCTCCTGCCAAGGAGCCGACACAGGATACAACTACAAATGTCGCAACTCCTACCAAGGAGCCAACACAGAATACGACTACAAATGCCGCAACTCCTAGCCGTCCGTGTACCAAGAAGCCGATCGATTCGAGTGAGAAGAATCCCGTTGTTGGGGCAAAGTCTACCGAGGCCTAGACATACAATGCGACTGACGAGTCCATATTCTCAGGCTATGATAGCTAAGGGCGCTTTCCTATTACCATCGCAGCCTGGGAGACTCACGCATTTGGGACAGAAGCGTATGGAGAAAGGGGCTCATTGCAGGGCGGATAGGCGGAACTGGATGCCTGGGTACGCGGCAGCAAAGTGAAGGCCCAAGAGCACGTTCGTACTGTAGTAGCTACTTTATAAAAACTGTTGTTGTCGGCTCTGATTCCCCTGTTTGACGTGTACAATTGCAACATGACTGTAGGACCAGAACCGGAGAGGACGAAGCTTCCGTCTCTAGTATGCTGAGGGACCCCGGGTGCCGTCGCCAAGGCCTCAATTGCCTGTTTCCTGGTCGACAAGAGGACCGCTACTATTATAGTCGCATGCGCCCTTGCTAGGTTTACCAGCGGATACTATTGTGTCTCCTTCTTGGGGCAAGCCGCCGACAGAAGTGACAACTTGGCCAAGGTTGTCATCTTGAGTGAGACATCCTTGGCCCAATGAATGCCCCTTGCATATCGGTAATAGAACCACCCTACTATGTGATGTGATATGGATGAAGATGTACGAAAGTAATCCAAATATTGATATAGCTCAGCCAAGTGTAACGCCTCAGGTAAAGTCTCGCAGCCTCCAGCATTCAGCGTGGCATCTGCGTTGTGACAGCTTGTGCTTGGTTTGTACTTGGATTTGCACCGGGGTAACCAGCACCGGCGTCGACGGCGGCCGTGGCCTGGTGGCCCGTCTCTGCAACCAAGGACGGCACGGATTGGTTAGCCATTGTGCCCGTCAAGTATAGCGGTGGTGTCCGAGAGACGTAAAAGTCCGTGTATTGGTCTGCGAGTGTATTGAGTAATGAAGAGAGACGAGATGTTTTTTGGGTCGAGTTGGAACCGAGGGGCCAAGGCTAATTTGTTCCATATTACGCGTATGTATATAAATAATGATTCCCAGGTATCAAGTCTTGTAGAGTGAGGTTTGCCTTGGACAGTGACTTGTGTCTTGTGTGTCTGGAGCGGTGGACCAGTGGTGCCTCTCCCAATGTCGCCTTGCCCGACTATTACAGAATGATGACAACTCCCAACCAACAAGGCTCGACTACATGTCCTCGACCCATACCGGCCGAGGATATGTGCGGGGCCGTTGAGCCGACGCACTGTGAGACAAGGGCTAATGTTCGTTCGCCATCATGATTTGCGTGCCTGCTCTGCAGTACTAGACAGGATATAACCACCGACTTGGATGCCATTGACAAATCATAATGGAAACTGCACGCCGTAATCAGTTCTTGCTATGCTGCCCACGCTCCCAGGCAGACATGACTGATCAGCAATGCGACAACCTGCTCCGCAGCCAAGTATACAACAAGTTGCGATGCAAATTTCGCCCAACGCCAACTCAACGCCCTTGTGCGGCTGTCATGTCCAGAGCCATCTTTCCCACTTCAGACCTTCGTCACCGACGGCAGAGAAAAGTCCCCAGATTCTGGCATCTACAGTAATCCCGACGTTGCAGGGTCCGTCCGTGACATTGTCCCTCAGACCTTCTCGGCCCAACCTACCCTCCCGACGCCCTTTCTCCCAAAGTATACCCCCTTTGCCCACTTCCATCTCTCGTTCCCAACCATGTAAATACACGCGCCAAACCACTTTCCACTGTGCGTGGATTTTCAAGACCATCTTTTCGGCGCATTAGGCTTCCGACATGTACAGTATTATGTGATATCAACATCAAGTAGATTGGGGAAAAAGAATTTCTGCCTTGGCCGGCCGAGCTTCGACTCCATGGAAACCACCGAGGCTCTCATATGTAAGCCTGATCGGAGGCGACCAGCTGTCGTCCAATTTACTCCATGGAGCGGCATTTGATGGATTTGGGATGAGGACTATGGCGGCTATATGAAAAGCATGGTACCGCATACACGCGCTCATTAGACTCGCCTTCGCAGGTGTTCGAGTTCCTAGATGTATATTTAATGAGAGGTGACTTGGTGTACAAAGTCTATGCTGGCGCTTACATCCATTGTTCGCATATCGTGCCATCGCTGGCAACGGAACTATTTGGCTCCTGGTTAGTTCAGATGCTCTTGAGTAGACACGGGAAGGAGTTTACATACGTGACGAAGAACATGCTAGTGCATTTGTCTTCTATCAAAGGCAACGAAATCGTTGCGCAAATAGCGTCTTGGTAAGTCTCGCCCTGGAGTATGTTAGAGCTATTCTGTGGATATTGTACGAGGAAATGAAGGGGTTGGTAATACAATGGCTCTTGCAGTATTGGCAGTGGTGAGGAGGGTGATTAGCGGGAATGATAGAGGAATGCATCTTGTCCGCTTGAGGCCTGGTTATTTTCTTGTCTTTTGCTGCGGTGGAATATTAGTATTCCGCAATTAAATTGACAGCGCTCTTTTAGACTTTTCAAGAATGCAAAATGCATAGGCCAATCAATACAATAGTACGAGGTTACTCTGTCTGTCAAAGGTACAATTTGAAGCATGTCAAAGCTCCTCGGTTTCCCAAGAGCAAGAGAGGGATCAATGACGACTATATATACATGAAGGGACCGCTTGTGCCCAGGGCTCTTGTCCGGGCCCGTGTTGAATCTACCGGATACCATGTTGCAGATATTGGGTGTCGGCGTCCATCCACGCGTCCACCCACAATGCTGTGCTACGGCATCGTGCAGTGCTGAGAAAAGGTATCGAGCCGTACTACGGCTAGGACAGAGACATTGCTGACCTGTAGAATAAAGAGCCCTGTTGATAATAATTGGCCGGATATCCTGGCGTCCATCGAAGGGAATCAGCGTCATGGTCGTTACTTGGTGTTTGCGTCACGTTAGTCGACTCGTAGGTGTCGTCATCAGTTTTTCATAGAATATCAGTAGCCTATTAATAACGGAATAGTCTCCCCGAGAGCAATTGACATGCCTCGATTAGAGTCAAGAAATAATTCGCACTCAAGAGGCTACTGTCCACACCAGTCGTTTCTGCGAGCTCTACGCTGTTGAAAAAGCAAGGCTCGGCCGCCAAAGCAGAGAACAAGCCAGTTTCCACGCCAATGAGAGCCAGAGGGAGCCGGAAGTGCAAATGAAATGCCATTATAATCTATTTCCATCTGAAACCAATATTCGCGGCATCGGCTGCAGTACTCTATCTTTTTAGGAACATTGGCTAGATTACGTCAACTACTTAGTTACTGCAAATTGTATTTTCACGTCTTCTGTAGGGGCCCGCCTGTATAAAGCCCAACTTCAACTAATATCCACCGGCAAGGTACTCCCAGAGCCACTCGCGCCGCGGATACTATACTATCGTATATTCGTGTTTCCCCGGTGCCGAAGCCGGGGATTCGTCCAAAGGCTTCAGCAAGAACTCCACATCGCCGTGATGCCCTAGACTCCCCGAAAGCTGCCGGTCCTGTCGACTCCAATCGGTAAGGCGGTTGATGAGGTCCTCAGGCAGTCCCCGGGCATCTCTCAGAGTCAACGAAGAACCAGCGCAGGCATCCACGCTGCCAAAGTAGTTCCGATGGGCCCAGGGGTCAGGCGAAAGACCACTGCCGTTACAATCGGTGTTATCAACGCCCTTGCAGATGGCCGTCGTCGAGGGTTGCCACACGGTCTGGACATCGCCGCCAGGCCGCCAGAGCTCTGGGCTAATGTGGTTATAGCCGAAGATGAGAGGAGGAAGACGGGGAATAGGGTCGTCCCCGTTAGTGACGCGCCATTGGACGCCCCGTTGTGTAAGGAACCATGTTGCGAAATTTTTGTTACCGACCCGCGGGGAGCCATATGTGTACAGGTCAACGGCGAGACCGTCGCGACGAAGGTAGGCTGCGCTAAGAGTTGCGATAGCGGCCCCAAGAGAGTGCCCCGTGGCCACGACCCTGAAATTGGGGTTACTTGAGCGAGCAGATCTCACAGCCTTGGTGATGGCGTCACTAATATCGTACCAGGCTTGGGCGAAGCCGGTATGGAGTTTACATCCTTGTGTGAGGTTACAGTCGCTCCAGGCAAAGGCAAGGTCAGCAATAAAGTTGCGAATATTGTTGCTGCCACGGAAGGAAAGGACGATTTCCCTGCGGACATAATCAACGGCTACGTACGCGCCGACTCCGAGGGCGTCGCCACTGGGGTTGTGTCAGAATAAAGATTTAAAAATTATTGCTTAAGGAGATAGGGCTGATAGCCGGGAGGCTTGAGCGGGAAAAAAGAATAGGGGGACCTACATGGCCGACGCCACCACAACAGCCTGGTTTCGCATGACGAGTGGACAGGCGTTATTTTGGCACGTAATCCGCGCACCGGGAACGGCATTAAAATTGCAGTATGCCGCGGCAGCGTGCTGGGAGTAGAACCTGATGGCGCTGAAGTCTCTGTTAGAGATACGCTCCGTTCCCGCTTGGAGATGTTCTGTTAGTTAGGGTTAAGCATTATAGAGGCACTTCAAGTGTCGACGAACCTCTGGTTACAAGAGCCTTGATATGATCAACGGCAGTAAGTTGAGCAGCAGCAGCAGTGGCTACAAAGCCCAGAACCGTCTTAAGCAGCATTTTAAAAATAAGAGTTGATAAAGAATAATATTCCCAACAAGTATCTGATAATCTGATCGAGGAGCTTGTTCTGGCGCAACAAGCTGTGGAACCGAGGGTTCTTTCTTGTCTGTTGTTTTAGAAATCTATTATTCATGGGAAGCATATCGATCTTATATTCCTCATTCCCCCTTCTGTGGTTTGTTTCTCCATCACCAGTTTAACCAGCGGGTACCGCACACAACTATCGTCGTCTGACCATGGCGGAGACGTTGCGAGACCAATAACCCATTAAAACCTGCAGCTGACTTTGACGGATTAGTGTTGATGCACGGCGATGACACAAGTTTTCTAGCTTCACATCCTTCCTGTCTAGGCCTGCCGTGTTTGCATGCATCGGTAAGACTGAAGGATCGCTCCCACGCTCCTCTCTTACTACTAGCCCCGGCTTAT